GTAAAGTAAAAGGACACAAGTGCAACTAATGTGACATTTTATTGTGGCAACGTTTCGCTCTCCAGGAGCTTTGTCAAGCCGATACAAACAGTATATGGACACAGAGGGTATATAAAGGCTCAGAGTGAGGTGCAATACTAGTGAGGTACCATTTCAATGTTCACTAGTGGTAGTAGTAGTAGTAGCAGTAGTGACAATATGGTAGAGCAAATAATTCGTACATGAGTAAAAGGATATAAAAGCTATTACTTGGGTAACATAAAAATAGGTTGGACAAATATAGACTGGATAGAGAAGGCCTTTTCAGTGTTCACTCTCTGTACTGTGCTTTGTGTAGTATAACAGGAGAGACTATGTGATGGCAGGGTTTACTGTTTTCAGGAGGATTCTCGTTAAGACTTCAGAGATGGTGAAGCTGCCGTTGTTTTGTTTAATTGTATTCGAAACAGCGATCAGTGCTGATTCGAGGCACTTGCGTCTGCGGAAATTAGTTTCTTTGATCACTAATTGGGCGTCCCTGAATTTCATGAGATGATTGGTGGAATTTCGGTGTTGTACACAGGCGTTGCTCAAGTTATCGTTCCTACATGCGTAAATGTGTTCACTGAGGCGGGTGTCGAGGTTTCTTGCTGTTTCACCTACATAAATCTTGTCACAGCCTCCACAGGGTATCGTGTAAACCCCTGCATTGACTGGGTCGTGGTGCTTTGATTTTGTCCTAGTTAGACCCTTTATTGAAGTGCTAGAAGCGATGGCGACTCTGGTGTTAGCTTGTGAAAGTACTTTGGAAATGTTCAGTGCAACCTGGTTGTTGGGAAGAATTATAACTTTGTTGGGAGTGGTGTTAGTGCATGGAGAATTAATGATCTGAAGAGCTCTTTTCTTGCAGTCTTTGATGAAAAAGGAAGGAAAATGTAACTCAGTGAAGGTTTGGTGAATGTATGTACATTCCTCGTCAAGAAACTCAGGACTACAAATTTGGTATGCTCTTAGGAAAAAGCCGATGATGATGCCTCTTTTGGTCTTGGTATCTTGACTGGAATAGAAGTGTGTGAGACCATTTTTATTGGTAGGTTTCCAATAAACTTGAAATCTTAGGTTGTTGTCTACTTTGTGAATGAGGACGTCGAGGAAAGGTAGCTTGTCATTGGACTCTTCTTCTAGTGTAAACTGGATCGCCGGTTCAACTGCGTTGAGCCTTGCCTGAAGATTCCGTACATCAAAACGTTTGGGAGTTATTACGAGGACGTCGTCCACGTAACGTAACCAAGTGATGCTTGAAGGGATGATGTTTGCGAAGTGTTCGGACTCTAGGTGTTCCATGTATAAGTTGGCTAGGACGGCACTGATGGGAGACCCCAGTGCACATTACAGAGAGTGAACACTGAAAAAGGCCTTCTCTATCCAGTCTATATTTGCCCAACCTATTTTTATGTTACCCAAGTAATAGCTTTTATATCCTTTTACTCATGTACGAATTAATTGCTCTACCATATTGTCACTACTGCTACTGCTACTACTACCACTAGTGAACATCGAAATGGTACCTCACTAGTATTGCACCTCACTCTGAACCTTTATATACCCTTTGTGTCCATATACTGTTTGTATCGGCTTGACAAAGCTCCTGGAGAGCAAAACGTTGCCACAATAAAATGTCACACTAGTTGCACTTGTGTCCTTTTACTTTACATATTGTCAGTAATTCTACCAACATTATTACAATAACTTTAAAAGTAGCCGATACCCACTGATATCTATATTTTGGCAAACCCTTAACATACAGCATTCATATTCTCAAAATCTGAAAGTACAGTGGAATCCTGAGTTTCGGCCATAATCCATTCCAGGAGCTAGGCCTAAAGTCGAAACGGTGTAAAGTTGAAGCAATATTTCCCATAAGAAATAATGTAAATCCAATTAATCCATTCCACCCAAAAATATTTAGAAACAAAACAATGAGAAATAAATATAAACCAGTAATTTTAATGGATAAATGAACATTTAAATCAGTATTACCTTTATTGACAACTCTTGTTGGTGTATGAGAGAGGCAGGAGAATTTGTTTGGAGGCAGGACAGGATAGTCCTTCAATATGACACTAATATCAAGTCTATGGCTTATTTATCTATCACAATTCATCTAATATGACATAATAAACAATATTAACAACATAGAAACATGACATTACACTAGAATGAATAAAATACGTCATTACGTATTGGTCTTGGGTCTTGACAAGAGGAGTGGAGTTAAAAGATAAAGAATCACACAAAGTGGGAGTTGTCACAGTTGCTCTTTGCTGATGACACTGTGCTCTTGGGAGATTCTGAAGAGAAGTTGCAGAGGTGGTGGATGAATTTGGTAGGGTATATAAAAGAAGGAAATTAAAAGTGAATACAGGAAAGAGTAAGGTTATGAGGATAACAAAAAGATTAAGTGATGAAAGATTGGATATTAGATTGGAAGGAGAGAGTATGGAGGAGGTGAATGTATTCAGATATTTGGGAGTGAACGTGTCAGCGGATGGATCTATGAAAGATGAGGCGAGTCATAGAATTGATGAGGGGAAAAGGGTGAGCGGTGCACTTAGGAGTCTGTGGAGACAAAGAACTTTATCCTTGGAGGCAAATGGTTTTTAATACTTGACGTGCTGTTGGAGTGTGAACAAAGTAACATTTATGAAGGAATTCAGGGAAACCGGCAGGCCGGACTTGAGTCCTGGAGATGGGAAGTACAGTGCCTGCACTCTGAAGGAGGGGTGTTAATGTTGCAGTTTAAAAACTGGCAAGACAGTGATGGAGTGAATGATGGTGAAAGTTTTTCTTTTTCGGGCCACCCTGCCTTGGTGGGAATCGGCCAGTGTGTTAATAAAAAAAAAAAAAAATTACATATGTCACGACTGGTGTTGTGTTGTGTTGTTGTTGGGTGTATAAGGGCCACTGAGAGCACAAGCATAAGCAGCAGCAGAGGCAGCGGTGTTTTCAGTCGCCCTATATACCTCAAACAACAATGGAGGAGTTAAGTTTCGTGTCGTCATTTTTTCTATCGCTTAACTTACTTGCTACACTGTTAATGCTACACTTTATCACTGGCTGGCGATATAGCCTTTATCGACTCATGCTGCTTTAGTATCGTACATATCGTAGAAACACTGAATCACTGAAGAAGGCACATTCTCCCCTCTCTCTTCCTCCTCCACTTTGGTACTTTGCTACAATTTCTTTCTTCAATTCTAATGTGTCTCTCAATTTCTTTACCAAAGGGCTGCCACTATGAAGTTTCTTTGGGCCCATGGTGGCTTATTTCAGTCACAATCAATAAACAACCACTAAACACAATGAATTTATTGTGAAATGTTTGGATGAGTGTGCAGGGTAATGTTCACTCAAGGATAAACAAAGTTAGACTGGCTCACAATGCCTGCGCAGGCAGGCTGACAGGTCTAGTATGCCAGCCGAAACACGGGGCACAGGCTGAAACTTTGGACAAAATTTAGCTGAAAAAAGCGGCTGAAACTTGAAGCGGCCGATACTCAGGGTGGCCGAAACTCTGGGTTACACTGTATTGAATATTTTATCTTTGGCTGATAGGAGGAAAAGAGAAGATATGATAAATACATATAATACAACACCATCAACAAGCAGAAAGAGGCCATAACTAAAATCAAGAAAGACTTCCTAACATTATCAACAAGCAGGGGGAGATATGTCATAGCTAAAAACATGTTAGACTTCCAAATAAATCAACAGGTAATACAAAACATTTCCTCGCAGTGGTATTACAACGGAATGGGTTACAAGTAGGTAGCAAGTGCTACAACTATAGGAATCTTCATTTTTTATATAAAACTACATACTGATGATGAGAAACAATGAGCTTTTCTCTTGAAGCCACAAACAGGAAAGTACATGGTTTGTACTTAAGTGTAATAGCCCTATGATAACTTGTAAGATATATATATACTGGGTTAAATCAATATGCAGGTCAATTGGTAAGACTATAATGACTATGCAATAAATCTTTCAACAAACCAGGGCCATATCCCACCTAGGCAGGGTGACCCAAAAGGAAAAATGAAAGTTTCTCCTTTTAAATTTAGTAATATATACAGAAGGGGTTACTGGCATTTTAGTTGCCTCTTACAACACACATGGCTTATGGAGGAAGAATTTTGTTCCACTTCCCCATGGAGATAACTAGAAATAAACAAGAACAAGAACTAGTAAGAAAATAGAAGAAAACCCAGAGGGTCTGAATATGTATATGCTTGTACATGCATTTGTAGTGTGACCTAAGTGTAAGTAGAAGTAGCAAGATGTACCTGAAATCTTGCATGTTTATGTGACAGAAAAAGAGACACCAGCAATCCTACCATCATGTAAAGCAATTACAGGCTTCTGTTTCACACTCACTTAGCAGGACGGTAGTACCTCTCTGGGTGGTTGCTGTCTACCAACCTACTACCTAGATATGCAATAAATATAATGACAAATCTTGTCCCATCATATCCTTTGTGATGCAGGACTTCAGAAGCTCTGACATAAGGCAGCATTTTTGTCAACAAATGATAAAGTTCATGCTACTGTAATCTGTAATCAAAAATACAGGTGGGTCTTGTTTATACAGCAGGTTAGGTTCTGGGTTACTGCTGTAAAGCAAAAATTGCTGTAAAGTGAAAGCCTTATTTCAATTTCAAATATATATAATAGCCTGATAATATGTTTACACTCTCCTATATTAAGTGAGCAATAGAGCTAGGCCTAAAAAATGCATATACTGTACACACATTAAAATATTTTCATCCTTAGCTTATAGTGACTGGTGAATATATTTATTGTAGGAAGTCTGAATAAATGAAGAATGGGTATAATTGAAAACTGCTGCATTAGCAAAACACAGTAAAGCAAAGCACTGTAAAGCAAGGCCCTCCTGTACACACATAGAAACAGGTTAATCAAAATAATGCATTTGAACTACAAGGCTAATTGTTACATACCTTTGACACAAGCTTTGCACGTGTCATATAATAGCGCGATATCTGGTCAAAGAATGAAGCAGCTTCAGACTCCACTGTACGTATCTCTCCCAGAGTTTCTTCTTGGATGCTTACGCCAAAATTATTTCCATCTTCGATTTTAGGAATCAGGAAGGAAATCCACATTTTCAGCTGAATGAAAAATGTGAAATATTTCATTAATAATTCACATCTAGAATTCAAACAGTAGATTACACAAATGAGCATAAACAAAAACACTGCATGTGAAGTGTGTTTTTATGTAATGTCACATGACATGGCACTCTGTTGCCATGATAGTATTACCAGGAAAACTATGCTGTTATTTCATTTCATAATTATAACCCAAAAATAATGTCTCTGCTGTGAGATGCCATGAAAAGTGCTTATCAGATAATGTACAGTTGAATAATAACCTCAAATGGAGTGTGCATGTATATTATATTACAGCACTTTATAGGCTTTTTTTTTTTTTACCAAAGATTGGAAATTCAACAGGGTTGTGTGAGGTGTCAGACGTAAGTTAGTGGAGGTAAGTGGTTTTTATGATTTGATGTGCTGTTGGAGTGTGAGCAAAGCAACATTCATGAAAAGTTTCAAAGAAACTGGTTATTCAGACTTGAGTCCTGGAGATGGGAGGTACAGTATCTGCACTCTGAAGGAGAGGTGGGGAAGATGTTGCAGTTCAGAGGGTCATCTGAGCTATGATGTCACCATGCTTCTGGAAAGAAAGTAAATGAATGAATGATGGTGAAAATGTTTCTTCTTTTTATTGAGTCATCCTACCTTGGTGGCAGACAGCTGGTGTTAATAAAGAAACAGTTTATAAGAGACCTTTAATTTGTCTATAACCCACCACCATAGGCACAGGCATTAGAAGAGGTACAGAATATTAGCTACTAGTGTTAGAGAATCATTAAGTGGGGCTCACTGTTAAAGGAAGCTGAAGGGTTCACTCAGACTTAATTCGCACACTTGAGATTTAAATTTGAAAAACTTTACTCATCGCAACTGCCTGCCTGAGTTTGCTTGGGAAGTAAGCGCGAAAGATCCCAGTTCTTTTTTCTTCTCCCTTGGATACATGCTGTACACCTTAGTCATTCTCTTCTGCTTCATCCTCTCTAAACCCCCAGACTACCTCAACAACCCCACCTCTGCCCTCTGAATAATACCTTTTATAACCCCAGATTCAAATTTCTACACACTAGGTTTTATGTATATTTAAATTATACAATGCTCTCAAGCTTTACATCTCCAGTCTCCTCAGTGCAATGTTTAAAGCCTGCATATCACCATACCCACATAAAATGGGTTGGTTGGTACCGTTATATTCTAACACTTTTTTTTTTTTTTGATTCCATAAATGAACTTTCTCTCCACAGTCCACCCTTCTTTTTCCCCTTCATTTATTTTATGGTTCACCTCATCTTTCACAGACCCCTACCATGTTCAATATCAAATATGTAAATACATTCACTTCTGCCATACTTCAGATTATCATGATGTTTATGGTGTTCACTTCTAATTTCCTTATTTTCCACATCCTCTCACTTGTCTGCCAAACTTCACAACTTCTCTTCAGAACCTCCCAAAAGCACCACATCACTGGCACAGAGCAATTTTGACAATTTCCATTTTGTATCATTGTCATTCTTTTAATCCCACACCTCTCTCCCACAATACACCTTAGCATTTTGTTTATAACCTCATCTATAAATACAGTAAACAATCATGGTGACATCACACATCCCTACCTAAGGCCTACTTTTACTGGAAAATGGTCCACTTCTCTACTACATACCCTAACCTAAGCCTCATTCTCCTCATAAAAGCTCATTACTGCTTCTATTAATGTATTACCTATACCATACATTTGCAATATCTGTGCCACTTTGCTCTCCTATTCACCCTATCATATGCCTTTTCTAAAACCATAAATACAACAAATTATTCCTAACACCCTTATTGAAGTAGGTATTATATACCATTTGTAACATGCCTTTTCGATGATTGTTGTTCATTTACATGCTTCAATGCAAATAACTGGTCTACACATCCTCTACCCCTTCCTAAATCCTTCCTGGTTTTCTGCAATCCTACTTTGCCTTACCCCTGACTTTTTACCATACACTACCAGGCATACTCAACACGCCTACTCTCTCTTGTTCCATTTTTTTTCCTTATACAAAGGAACTATGAATGCTCTACACCAATCCTTAGCTACCTTCCCTCTTTTATGTACATCTGAACAAATACACCAACCAAAAAATAGTTCACAAATTGGGTAAAATTGCTGATGCATAAATATTGCTGATACCACTAACTTTGCATGAGCGTACAGTGAAACCTCGGTACTCAAACAATTCAGTATTCGAATGCTTTGTTCAGTAAAAAATCGCTTGGTAGTTGGCCGTTTGCTTGGCACTCAACCAAACAAACACGACCTGCCAGAACTTCGCTGTAAACTATTTCGTGTTTCTTCGCATTTTTTTTTTATGTTACAGTGGACCCTCGACTAACGCTATTAATCCATTCCTGAAAGCTCATCGTTAGTCAAAATAATCGTTAGTCAAGTTAATTTTCCCCATAAGAAATAATGGAAATCAAATTAATCCGTGCAAGGCACCCAAAAGTATTGAAAAAAAAAAAATTTAACACATGAAATATTAATTTTAATACACACAAACTGAAGAAGACATGCAAAGTTACATGACACTTACCTTTATTGAAGATCTGGTGATGATTGATGGGATGGGAAGAGGGGAGTGTGTTGATGGTCTTAGTGTTTAGAAGGGGAATCCCCTTCCATTAGGACTTGAGGTGGCAAGTCCTTTTTCGGGGTTACTTCCCTTCTTCTTTTAATGCCACTAGGACCAGCTTGAGAGTCACTGGACCTCTGTCGCACAACATATCTGCCCATAGAGGCCTGTACCTCCCGTTCTTTTATGACATTCCTAAAGTGTTTCACAACATTGTCAGTGTCACCATTAAACACTTGTTCAGGTTTCAGTCCTTCACTGTCTATGTACTCCTTGAATTCCTGCACATATTTTTCAGCTGCTTTTTGGTCCAAACTGGTAGCCTCACCATGCCTTATCACACTATGTATGCCACTACGATTCTTAAATCTCTCAAACCAACCTTTGCTGGCCTTAAATTCACTCATATCACCACTAGTTGCTGGCATTTTTCTAATTAAATCGTCATGCAACTTCCTAGCCTTTTCACATATGATCGCTTGAGAGATGCTATCTCCTGCTATCTGTTTTTCATTTATCCATACCAATAACAGTCTCTCAACATCATCTATCACTTGCGATCTCAGTTTCGAAAACATAGTTGCACCTTTGGCAAGAACAGCTTCCTTGATTGCTGTTTTCGTGGCCACAATAGTAGCGATGGTTGATTGGGGTTTTGTGTACAGCCTGGCCAGCTCGGAGACATGCACTCCACTTTCATACTTAGCAATGATCTCTTTCTTCATATCCATAGTAATTCTCACCCTTTTTGCTGTAGGGTTGGCACTAGAAGCTTTCTTGGGGCCCATGGTGACTTATTTTGCAGGTGCAATCACTAAAAAGGCTGTGATAATATGAAATGTTCCGATTGTATGCTTGGAAGCGACCGCAGTGGCTGGCTGGCTTGTAAACACTGGCCAGAAGTGGACGCGTCTCAGACGGAAGGAATAGTGTTGGTCGAGTTTTTTAGCGCTAATCGAGGCAAAATTTTTGCGATAAAATGTATCGCTAGTCAGATTTATCGTTAATTGATGCCATCGCTGGTCGAGGGTCCACTGTATTTGTATAAATAAGTCACCATGTTGCCTACGAAGATTAGTGAAAATTGGTTGGGAAAAATTCATTTGGTACCTGAACAGCCTTCTGGAATGAATTACAGTGGACCCTCAACCAACGGCATTAATCCGTTCCAGAGAGCTTGCCATTGGTCGAATTTGCCGTTGTTCAAATTAATTTTCCCCATAAGGAATAATGGAAATAGAACTAATCCGTTCCTGACACCCAAAGTATGAAAAAAAAAATTTTTTTTTAAAGATTAAATAAAAATATACATACAGAAAACAATGACAAATAAATATAAAGCACTAATAAAATGGATAAATGAACATTTAACATCACACTTACCTTTATTGACTTATCTTTACTGACTCGACTTGTTGGTGTATGACAGGCACGTAGGAGGCAAGAGGAAGACAAGTTTATTATGCTTCAATATGACGCTAATATAATCTCTACGGCTTATTTATCTATCATAATTCATCTAATATGACATTATAAACAATATTAACAACATAGAAACATGATATATACTCTAGAATGAATAAAATTTGCCATAATGTATGAGAGGAGTAAATGGTGTAAGTGTTATTGTTGGGTTTAAGTGCCGCCACTGAGAGAAGTCGTGTTGGTGGAAGATTTTGCTAGCACCACCATCATACTTAAACAATGTATGTAATTTATAAATAAGAAATATTTATATTTTAATTTATAAATAAGCAAGTTTATTCAGGTATACATAAATACAGTTACATAGATTATCATACATAGCAGCATGTGTAAAGTACCTAGGATAACCCAAAAAAGTCAGAGTGACTTACGTATTTCCACTGGGGTCCTTTCATTTATTTTTTTTTTTTCAACAAGTCAGCCGTCTCCCAGCAAGGCAGGGTGTCCTTTTGTATTTACACTTTATATATTTACTTTTATGCTTACACTTTTATATTTACACTTACCTTGGAGATGTTAGTTTAATTAGTTAGTTTGATGGAGGAGATGTTGGCAGAGGTTTAGCGTAGTGGAAGATAGGCTGGCGTATGTTCAGCGGATGTACACACATCCAACAACATTGGAGAGTTACTTTCGTGTCGTTTTTGTATCGCTTACTCATTTAGCTTACTTGGTACATTGTTAATTCTACACTTTATCGTTGGCTGGCACTACAGCCTTTATCGATACCTGCTGCTTTAGTATCGTACATATCGTAGAATCACTGAATCACTGCAGAAGGCACATTCTCCCCTTCCTCTTCCTCCTCCACTTTGGTGCTTTGCTAAGAGTTTTTTCTTGAATTTTGTTGTGTTTCTTTCCTTCTTTATCACAGGCCTGGCACTAAAAACTTTCTTTGGGCCCATGTTG